TTAAAGGTTGACAGAGTGAAGACATAAAAGTGGTCATGTGTCATATCTCTGAATGAATATTTTACTTGTTATTAGCGTACAAAATTTAATTTGTCTCTACCCTCAAAGTGAACTTTTTGTCATTTTATAATGACACCCATTTTATAATTTTATAACGGCACCCGTAAAACCCGTTAAGATGTTCTCGCCTAAGATGTTAGAACGTATATGGGGGAAACGATTTAGTTCAATCACTTTGACGCTTAATAATTAACTCCTGTGTTAAACCATCTGACTCCGATTCAAATCACTCTGACCACAGAAATTATTAGGCTTCAAACAGAGTGAACGAAATCATGCCCCACACACACAGTCTAACATCCACGCATATAGAAAAAACCTTGAATCTTTTGCATATCTCGAAATTTCAAGTTGTCCTGAGTCCAAAAATGTAAAAATTTGGGAAGGATCATTTTTTGACCGATCGCTACACCTTCCCTCTATAACAGCCCTTATATATAACAGCGTAGCCTAATAATACTATATATTAATCTATATACATTATCGAGACAAGTTGATGATGATAATCAATGCAGAGCCCAAATGGTTAGGAGTTGAAAGTTGAAATTTGGTGCACAGTTAGTGTATGTCACCAGAATGCACACTATGAAGGGATTTTTCAAAATTCCTTCCCACGGGGGAGAGGGACAGGATTAAGGCTTAACACTTCCATTAACAATGGAAGTGTTAATTTAAGAGAAAGCGACATACAAGACACAGATGCAGTTTTTTGCAGGAAATTGAACATATTTTTTAGACCCATCTAAAAATTGTCTAATTAGTCTGNATTAAAAAAAAAATAAAAAAAAAATTTTTTTAGTGAATTTAGAAGAGGAGAATGGAAGAAAATAAACAATTTTGCTTAATTTAATTTTAGAAAAAAAAATTTATCATTTAATATTTCTTAATGCAATTTCATAACACAACTTGTTGCTTAAAATTAAAAAAAAAACAAAATGAAGGTCATTAATTTATAATATAATTTATGTTAGAATAATTAAATTAATATGTTAATTAAAGAACTTATGCAATAACTTTACAGAAAAAAAAGGGTTTATTCTTTTATTTACAGTTTGGATTTTTATAGACTGATTATTTTAATTATTTATTACAGATGACCTTTATGAAGAAATTTATTGAAAATTGAAAATTCAAGACTGAATTAGTCATTAGATGTATGTCAGCTCAAATAGTATAACCAAAATGCTTCAGATTCTGTTAATGTGTTTCTGGACTGTTTTGATTTCGGCTACGGAAATGACACGGATGCGATGTGAGGAAATCAGCATCAAAATGTGCCGAGATTTACTATTCTGTTCAATTTAGTTTAATTATATCTAAAATAATCCAGTGTGTAATGTTTATTAACAAAATTTAAGAAATCCAGCTTGCCTTAACCGTATACTTTTTTTTATTAATAATAAAAACATCTAATTTTTAAAATAAAAATATATGAATACCTAACTTACTTTATTTTCTGTTAAGATTTTCAGCATATCTAATAGAGAGGTTGCGGNATACGTATATTTCATAGTCGTAGGCGAAATCAGCGACTTTTATTTTAAAATGTAACGACATTTATTTACGAACGGTTGGGAACACTGCTTGTAGGTAGTCAGGGGACCGAGAACCGGGTCAAAATAAAATACAAAATGGTGCTGTTTCTACAAACAGGAGCGAGTTTCGCACTCTCCAAGACGGTCTCGTCCCAAGAATGGCTTTGCCGTTTTACTTTTTTTTTCATCTCTTTTTGCCCTGTGGGCTCTGTAAGCAAGTCCATTATGGGTTCGGCCAAGCCCACAATGAGACGACCGAGTGGTGAGGGACGGGACCCGACATATCCGGACGGACCATCCCCGAAAAATTCTTGGGGATTTTTCGACCCAGATAGATCCCTCCCCAGAGCGGTAGGCTGTCATCTGGACCGATCGGCCATCCGGTCAAACGGTCCAGTATAGCAAACAAACAAGCATCCTCATTTATATACGTAGGAATTTTGACAGAACTAGAAATAACAATAATTTTCCAGCGTTCAGCTAAATCTACCAACCGTCTTATCGATAGAACGATCGTAATGTCTTTCATCGTTTTTCGCGCCCTTTTTCTTAAACAGTCATCTGGCTTGGGACTTCTCTTCTCGCGGCATCGCCAACTCTCGTCTTTTCACTTCTCGCCCAAATCCCATATATATAGGTTATTTGTTATAATTCTTAAATGTTTTTAATTATTTTAATTTTAAATACAGTATTATAATAATTATGCCATTTGAATTTTATAAATATTTTGTCAGAAAAGCGCCATCTATTCCAAAATTCGAATTTTAAATTTGTTCGAAATCGTAGAACATCATAGAACTTGTAAGAATTTCAGAAAAGAATCACGTAAGTTGTTTTTTCTAATTTATCTAGTAAAGAATTTGTTTTATTTATTTAAAAATAATCACCTGTTTGATGAATATTGAATGTATTCATCGTTATTCAGTAATTTTTATCGAAGAATAATTGGAAACAGGAACGAAAAAAATTGCTACTCTGAATAAATAATTGAATTTTATCTGATAATATCAATTTATATTTCTCTGAGAAAACCTAGTTATTTTGATATTGGATAATTAGAAGGCAAGTCTAGTTTCCGCCCAAGAGAATGGGATTTTGATATATTTTTGGAATCGTCTGAATTAGACGAAGACATTTAACATACTTTTAAGTTAATTCAAATAAAATTTTAGATTAAAAATTTTTTCTTTTTTAAATTTTAAAACCTATTATTTTGATTGGTATGGAATCTAAGGTCAAAATATTTGACGATACTGCCTATGGCGTTATCAGTGAGATTGGGTCAAGAAATGGAGGTTAATTGTATAGTTAATGACTACATTTCATACTACCTGCAGATGAATGGTTATGAATGGGGATCTGTGAATGCTACTCCGTCTAAAGTGAATAGTTCACTAAGATCACTAGCAAATGATTTCAAAACTAAATATCCAGACAGAATTTTGAAAATGACTAATGATCTCAATATACATCCGTCTAATGCCTGCCCTATTCTCTTGGGAGTTTCCAACGAACTATTTAGTGATGGGGTCACTTGGACGAAAATCGTCGCATTCTTTGTATTCGCCAGCGAAATGGCTCTCATTTGCCATAGATACGGGAGCGACACGAAAATAGTCAACGACGTGGCAGAATGGTCTACCTCGTATATTAAATCTAATTTACTAATGTGGATTACATGTAACGGCGGCTGGAATAATCTTGTGACTTATTTCGAACAATACCATGCCATATAAATATTTTATGTGAATTCTGCAAACTTAACATCACTTTGGCTTGTTTTTATTATATTATGTCATAACTTGTATACTGTATTGGAAAACTGAATAAATAATTTTTTAAAAGACAATTTATTAGTTTTTAAAGAATTAAATGAATGTATTATCCACAATTTTCTGCTTTTTTTTATTTTAAAGTCGATTTTTTTTTCTTCTTTGTCTCCACGTGTAAACAGAAATCAGATCAGATCAAGAGAAATATTTGTTCCAAGGCAAACGTTTATTTGACACCTGTGTGTTGAAACTGATGAAAGATTGTTTATAAACCTATAAGCCTTGCGCTCATAATTGTTTGTATCTTTCATTTTAGAACTTTAAATAAAGTTTTATTATAATATGCTTGTAGTCGAATTCAGTCATAAAATTTTAATTTTATTATAATTTATTGAAGATTTTAATTTTTTAATATTAGAAGGTAATTAGCATTAATTAAAAGGTATCGTATTTCATCTTCGCTCCTGTTCAAGTTTATTGTCTAGACCCGGCATGGCCAATACCGGCCAATCTAATGAATTTAAATCAGCCCGCGATTAATCTTGCAATATTAGCTACTCAAGTCCGAATAGCTCCACTAAAAATTCTGACCCCTAAAAAAAGGTAAACAACTCACTGTGCGTTTAGAGTTAACGCTCCATTACAAATCTATTAATTAAGTACAGCGTAGAATGTTGATAATGCATGATAATGTGAATATTCTGTATATATAAATATAAATGTGTAAATATTTATTTTATATAGATGTAAGGAGATTTAATTCATGCCCATTCTTTGTGATAGAGACCATAAAATTAAGAATGTTTTTAAGGAGAAAATACCAATTTATGACAATTTATGGTAATATTAAAACATCACACTATTTTAACCATTGTTTATCAGCATTATTCTTCATTCCAATAATTATTTATAATTATTCGGCCCTTAATTACAGATATGTACAGAAAATTACTAAAATATGGCCCTTAAATTAATTACAGAAATGTTGCCCATCCCTTCTATTAGTCATGTTCCCACTAAAATACTTAGATGGCTCTGGAGAGATGCGGTTCTTTAATAGTATATCTCAACTTCTAACGAATTGTCTGCCCCTTCAATAAAACCATTACGTAGTGTTTACTATCACCTCTGCCTCCTTCACTTCGAAAATTCCGATGCCAAATACCAGGCTAACATCTGCTACTCATTTAGCACATTCCCTCATCGTCTAGAATTCATATAACTGAGGGCTTAGGAAGGGAAACTGGAAAGGAGAATATAACAGTCTAAAGCAGCGATTCCCAACCCGGGGTATGCGATAGGTTTTTTGCGGGTACAGAAATATAAGTAATATAAGTATGCAACAAAGTAAAAATAAAAACACTATAAACATATAAATTATCTTTAACAAAATTAATTTTAACGTAGTTTTGAGGAAAATTCTTTTAAATTAAAAAATTATGTAAAAACATATTAATATTTACTTTTATATGCATAAAACATTTCTTGTCAATGATTTTGATATTTATTTATCTCCATGTATTTTACACTTAAATGTAAACCTCCAGTTTATTGTACTTTTCCAAATCAAAATAAATATTTATTTTATATAGATATAAGGCAAGATATAGACATGACACCTAACCTATTCGTATGTACCGCTCTCGTAGTTAAAATTCAAATGAAATTTGATCTAATAATAATATTTATATTTCGTCACAACCTAGCATTCTAATAACCATTATTCGTTTGATCCGATAATCTGAAGCTATATCACCATTAGATAATGCAGTAAAACTGTGTCTTCATCGTAATAATTATTAAGACTGAATAATGTGCAACATCTGTATATCACTAATTTCGACTATTAAATAAATAAAACGATTGCCGATTATAAAATAATAAATTAATCATTATTTCATCAAAAGATGCTTTTTTAAAAATAATTGTGTATTTCATAAACTGTTACTTTAATTTTGTTAATTTCTAAAAATTATTCAAATTGATAAAAACATGTCAACATAAATTTCATTATTAAAAATATTTCATAGTATTTAATAATATTTCACTAAAATGTAAATAAATAATTTGGGGAGGTCTTTAATCAACAATTTTATTATATATACATTAAATAAAATCAGGGCCGTGCGGTAGATTTTCTAAGTATGATGCAAGTCTTCGAAATGCCGCTCCTTATATAAATTATTAGTTTTATATAGGCTATAATTCTTATTATTTGGTGTATCTTAGTATTAAATGTAGGAAACAGAAATAGCAATAAAAATTGGAAATTTTGTAAAACATTTAGAATGTTCAATCTTTATTCTGTTACATTGCGTTCTTGTTTAGGAAAGATACTGATTTATTGTCTATTGGAAGAAAAGGGAGAGGGAGCTATGTCAATAAACATCTAGAGGCTATGGAGGGGTACAGTACTTCGAATTTATTTTTTCGGGCATTTATTTAACATTTAATTTTCTAAAAATTACTATTATTATATTGACACAAAGTATTAGGTGCCCAAATCATGTGCACATAAATAATCAACTCTTGTAGGTACTCAAGGGATTGAGAACCGAGTCAAAATAAAATACAAAATGGCGACCGACCCTTTTCTACAAACAGGCACCTCACCCTACCGAAGTCAGCTGGGGGAGAGTACCACCCACAGTCATTCTAAGAAGTGAACTCTGACCTTAGGACTGAACATGTTGTTTATTCTATGTTAAATAAAATTTGTAATCTAATTTTGTAAATTTGGGAGTGCTTCAAATATGACGTTAAAATGGTTTTATGTCGTTACAAGTGCGTTTTTTAGCATTATCTATTATAGTAAAATCGTAGGATCGATAAAAATTTGACGTTATATTAGGACGTTATTGTCGTTACATTCGATGACATTATAATCGGGTTAAGCTGTATGTTGTTTGTGCAATATAAAAAAATAATTTCGGACGATACAATTATTATAGCCACGATAATTTTTTTTTTTCAAAAACGGGAACTTTTCGTTAAGCATCGACAAAAATTTAACCCGGGCCGACACTCAACGGAGAGAAATTTCGAAATTAGATAGGTTAATTTCATCGAAGATGCATGGTGGCCGGCGAAGTTTGGACGATCGCCCCCAAAAGCAGCGATATCAAAGAAGATAGGAGAATGAGAACGAGACCTGCCTTGAGCATCAAAATGATTCCGTCTCCGAGACATAGTCTTGTCCCAAATACGGTTTTGCCGTTTTACTTGTTTAGATGTTAAACACGTGAAGAAAAGCAGAAAAACTTCAACCTATTGGTCAGGCGCGAAGCAACGATTCAGTGGTTCAGAGCCACAATAAGGGTGCGGGTGATGAGGAGTAGGATTTGACGTATCCAAGACAGGCCACTCCCTCAAAAATTAATGGAATTTTTTGTTTTCTCAAATTCAATTTCGGATCTGCAGAACAGTAGATTGATGATTAGTCGCTTTAGTTGTCATATTAAACAATTCAGTGCATAATAAAATATTAAACAAACATTCCATAATTAATAGGATTACGTTTGAAACATAACAGTGTTTTTAACTGTTAAATAACTAGTAAAAATTTTTAAAACATCAATATAATATGGAAATTTTACAATTTAAAATACTTTTTGGAGTGATTAATGATTCCTTATTTAGTGTTTTTATACGAATATCACGGATAATTAACGTTGTGTTTTTCTACTTTATAGAATCATATAACAGTAAATAACTTATTTAATAGTTGTTTAGCTACAAGATGAAACATTAAATGGATTTTTCTCTTCCAGTTCTTGATAAAAGAGCAATATAATGTAACTTTCTATATTCTGTATTGCAAAAAGAATTAATTATTACAAAAAATAAATATAGATAATGTATTAAAATATAAGTAAATGTTTAAATGTATGATAATTATATTTAATGTTGCTATATCTCAATTTTTTACGAATAATTTTTTTAGAATGACGAAAAAGCTAATTAAGAAACAAGTCTTAATAGTCTACTAACATAAAAATAGCAGAATTTTAATTAAATAAGAATAATTAAGAAATTGTTCTTTTTCGGATAGAAATAAAAATTATATTTGTACTCTCTGTTATGTATAACAGAGGGAAAGTATGGAGATCGATCAGAAAGGACCCTCCCCTAGATTTTTACATGTTTTGACTCAAGGGTCCTTGAAACGTCAAAAAATGCAAAAAATTCGGGATGTTTTTCTGTATGTATAGATGTTTGTGTGCGGGGGACACGATTTTGTTCACCCAATTTGAAGCTTAATAATACCTATGTCTATTGTCTAAAAATGTCTGAAACTGTGCAGGAAAGATTTTGTGTGTTAGAGGTATTTATACTATTAAATTTAAATAAATAAAAAGAAGAAACTTATGAGTTAAGAAAATATAAACAATGGCAGAAGAAAAATATTAACATTAAGTACCGATGTCATTTCTTATGAAATCTCATACTACTTAATGATTGTTCTTTGTTATGAAAGAATAATGTAAAGAAAGACGAACATTTGTAGAATTTCCATTCATTCTACGAAAACAAACACTAAATGTCACGAAACAAGATAGTAGCACAAATACCAATAGTCACGAAACTCACGTGCAACATACAGAACCGATAATGTTAAAGGATTGAATTGAATTAATGGGATAAGGCAACGAAACACAGACGATTTATCAAGAGGATGTCTCGTGAGATAACTCTGTACGGTAAACTGTAGGTATTAAACATATGAAGAAAACCTCGAAAACTCCATTCGTCAAGCGCCAACCCACGATCAATGTTCAGTGGCAACATCCACTCACCACAGGTGAGATAAAGGTTTGGTTTTATTCGATTACGTCAACGCGACGCATGAGCGATCTGCCGGGAGTCTCTGATGGGAAACAGGTACCTATTCAGGTGCTCTACGTGGCCAGCCCGTTGGCGAGGTGCGAACCCACGACCAACTATCAGTTTTCAGTGTTTTATCC